CAAAAGCAAAATTCAACCCACAGGTTATCACAAAACATACTTGGATCCATAGTAGTGAAAAGCATTGTCCTGTATAAATGAAATACATAATTATGCAGAGCCAGAGTGTCTCTGCAGGGGCATTAAAGGGAGATAGCCCCAGCTCATATGTATGCACTATCCAGACTTTGGGTTCAGATGGACAAGGTTAAGAGTGCTGTGTACTAGCTACTTTCCCACCAGAGCAGATGAGCAAGGAGGGAGTGGGGAATGGCTGGAGTCTTGGCTTTGCTCTGGAATGCACAAGACAGCAGAGCTATGCTGGCATAGAAGGAGAAATAATCTGCTTCACGTATGAGCCACTAACCAATTATTTTCCCCTGGTGCAAGAACAGGGAACAAGGAGGGAATTGCACTTAACTGCCCTGCTCCTGGGGCAGTGTGCCACCTCATACGCTTGTATAGGGCTTGTGGCACTGTCAGACTCTAGCCTATGATCAGTGAAAATATACCTCTCAATGCATTGTAATTAGTTCTTTTTTTAAAGTGATACTGAAAAAAAAATGATTCCATGCTATCCTATTGTTGTCAGGACTTTTTTTTTTTTTTTTTTAAAGATTCTTTTCAGACCAGGAAATAAGAAACTGTTAAAGACTACTGATGACAACTGCAAATAGTTTCCTAATTCCTGAACATACTGTAAAAGCTTAAAAAGCAATTTTACCTTTTGAAATTAGAGACAATGATTACTTTATCATGAATTTGTAAGTTTTTTTGGTTAAAAAGAAAAAAAATCATTTTTTATGTTTCAGAAATATCCATTTTGCCTTATTTTTCTGTCACAATTATCTAAGATTGATCATCTATTTTACTTCCAGTTTACACCAGAGTCACTACAAATTGCAGAGGATGTTTTGACCATTCTAAGTACTGTACCTATTATCTGCCAAGGTCAAGGTGACATCTGTAAAATTACTTTACAGCTGAAAACTGAAGATTCTGGTAAGAGATTTGTACATTGTAGTTAATTCATTGTGACTACTTACTTTTTGCAACTTATATGGTACAATGAATTTAAAGGAAAATTATAACATTTAGATAACATTAAATAGTTGACAAAACTAAATAGCTTGTTAGCTTGTAAAAAAAAGTAGATGAAAAAATCACTCATGGTTTGTTGCCGGTACATTAAGCAATTTCAATAATAGCTACATCATAGTTCATTGTGATTTATTAGAGAAATAATGATAAAGGATTTTTTTAAACATTTAGGGTTATAAAATAGCATTGCAAGGTTCTGCATTCTGAATGTTTCTTAACCAGAGTGACACTCAGAACAATCTCATCACTTATTGATGGTCACTCAGAACATCATCATCAGATAATTCAAGAGCTGGATCAATAATAAATAAATAAATAATTGAACGGATTTTGTATCTTTTTCTGGATAAATTGTGATTTTATTGATGTTAGAAACATATGGTTAGGTCCAGTCAGTATCCCAAAGAACCTACGCTATAAAACCTCAGTTCTACAAAGAAATAAGCACATGTAACTTTACACACTTGAGGAGTCCAAATGACTTCAGTGGGACTATTCATCTATGTAACGTTATACACATGTTTAAGTCTTTTCACCATCAGGACGTCAAAGACTTTTGGACAGAGAAGAAAATCATGAAACATTATAGATATTGTTTTGTATCCCATATAACCTAATTTTCCCAGTAACAGTACATACCCCAAGAAGGGTGTAGAAGTTAGGAATTTAGTAGTTTTTCCCTTTTAAAAATATCAAGAATTAGTTCTACATTACATTCCTTTTCTAGAAAATGAAAATATAATGGGTTTTTTTTTATTGGTTTGTTTTCTGGTTTTCATTTGTTTGGGGTTTTTTGGTGGACTGGAACATGATAGTGACAAGGTGGGTGAGGTAATATCTTTTGTTGGACCAATTTCTGTTGGTGAAAGAGACAGTCTTTCAAGCTCCACAGAGCTTGTCTCTCTCATATCCTGGGACCAACATGGCAACAACAACACTGGATTAATTTTTGTGACATACTATTGATTACTTTCTAAGTTGTTTGCTTGGGAATGTTAGCAAATTTTATCTAAAGAAACATTTTGCCATCTTAATCAGCAAATAAATTTTCCCAAGGCCAAAGTGATGTAATTCTGCTCACATCCAGAAATTATGGCTATTCATTGTCCATTTTTATCACCTAACAACCAAATTTTCTATCAAGGGACTGATTCCGCTGCCCTCCAGTGTATGCTGGTTCCCTTGAAGTCAATGGGAGTTGCTTTTGGGGACAGGATCACAATATCAGGCCCACCAGAACATTTGTCCACCTGTGAAATGTAGTATCTCATCTTAAAAACTCAAGGCAAAACAACATACAAGCTCTGAGATTTTTTTTTCTTCAAAATAACAGAAAGTGTGACTTTTGCTATGTGCTGGTTTTACCACTGGTAAGAATTTTTTAAACAACCCCTGCTCCACGGGTGAAATCCTGGACCCACTGAAATCAATGGCAAAGTACCCTTAGACTTTAATGAGGCCAGGATTTCACCCCAAATCTTTGCCACTGACGTATACATTACATAGAACTTCTCCTAAAACGAAACAAAAAAATCAATAATCCTCTACTGAGGTTCAGCCTACCACCCCACTCTTTCTTCTCATTCTTTTTTAATCTCCCTGATGTTCAGAAACATGCATTTAAATGAGCTGAAATCCCTCTACTTTTCTTCCCAATCCTCAGCACACGCACAGACAACAAAGGGGATAAAAAGGCATTCAAAATGAGAACATAACTCAGTGATCTAAGATGAACTGTACCTGTGGTTTCAGCAGCTGTTAGCTTCCATACATGGAGTGGTTTGAATTTGCACGTGACTTAGTGGTGCACTGATCTGCATATTCCTCTTGATGGCCTAGCTGTGTCAGCCTACCAAGTGAGCATTCTTTAAACTCACAGGGTCAGATTTGTAAAGGTATTTAGGTGTATAAATATGCAGATAGGCACATAGTGGAATTTTCAAAAGCACCAGAGCAGGTTAGGCACCTTTGAAAATCTGGCTGATGACAAAATTTATGAGCAGCAAGCTAACAAGACTGCAGAAGCTATTCTGCCAAAGTTAGCATCTAATACAAACTTGCTTGGCAGGAGCCCACTCCCTTTTCACTGCATGTTTTATCAGTCTCTTAATATTCTAAGGGAGACTGACCGAGAAAGTTTCCAGAAGTAGATTTATTTTCAATGTGTTAATGAACTTGACAAGTTGGTGCTGAGAGGTGCAGAGATGGAGATACAACTGTACCAATTAACTAGCCTTGAAAAGAAGCCGTTACAGAAGTGGCAAGTTTCTGTCCCTTTTAATCATCTAATTTATGTAGTTTAAACTAATAACCAACTGTTGCCCTTGATTGGTCCACCTTGAAGCTGTTTGTCTATGTGTCACTGGCCCACATATATTCAACTGAGATGCTAAATGTCTATAAACATCTTCTGCTTTATGTATGCATATGCACTGTGCAAGAATGTTTATTCAATGCTTTAGTTGCATTTGTTTTTTGTTTGAAAGAAAGCTACAGCCTTTTAAATACTGTAAGATTTAAATTGGCCACACTCCTACACATTGGAAATAAAGGCTATTTTAGTTTTTATTCATTTATGCCAAAAGAAATTAAATGACAAACTCCATGTTGAGTTGAGTCCATTTAACACCACTGTTGTGTTAATTATATAGGTAATAAGCATTGAGAAAGCCAATTAAAAGCATAGAAATATATCTCTACGTTTAGATAATACAATTAATCCGAGGACACAACAGAGCTGTTGTGCTGCTTGTTTTATGTGTACCACTGTTACTTCAACAAGATTATTTTGTTTGATTTTAAACTTTTGCTCTGTGAGCAAACCTCACATGGTTACAAGAGCAATAACTATCCTTTGTGGAAAGCTTCTGTTTAACTGGCTAAAAAAAACTTGAAAATTATCCAGAACTTTGCTATACAATTGTAAGCCAGCCTTTAAGGATTTGATATCAGAGATACCTCTCTATGCCATAGTTCAATTTGTATAGAATCTATGGGTTTAATCTCAGTTATATTGTATAGGTCTTTTCTATAATGCTGATTTTTTGGAAATGCTGGTTTTTTGGAAATACTTTTGAATATTTTTATGCCTTCTGAATATAAATTAAGAAGCAAATCCATGAATTATGAATAATTGCTTTGTTTTTACCAAATTAATCCATTCCCGACATTTCTTGTCATACTGTAGGTGTTGGCTCAGACTGTGGAAACTGGGTAAAATCCTGGGCCCGCTGAAGTCAATGGCAAATTTTCTGTTGACTTCAATAGGGCCACGATTTCCCCTTGTGTGTTCAAAGAAACCATTGGCCTTTTCAATGGATCACTTTGGGCTCAGGAACATCCTGGATGTCTCAGTTTTTTGTCCCTTAGAGGCAGCAACCCTGTCTCAGACCAGTTCTTAGTGGATAAGCGTGCACATGAAAAAACACCAATAGATGGCACTAACAGGACCCCAGATTTGTGACCTTAAAAATGGAGGCTAATGACTGAAAAGGCATGGAGACAGCTACCCTCTCACCCATAGAGGAGGTCATTTAGGTAAGAGCTGAAGCACAGTGGCAGAGCTGCATGAGTAATCTTACAATGTCATTGCCTCACCAGCTCTGTGAGTAGCCAGATTCAGTCCCCAGCTCTCCAGCACTTTTCTATCTACGTTACATGCTTGTCTAGCTCCCATTCCCTTAGTACCCAAGCAGCTCTTAATCTTTGAATGTATTTATCCTCACAATCTGACTGTAAGGTTGAGAAGTGCTATTATCTCCAATTTATAGATGGAGAATTGAGGCACTTGCCCACGGTCCCACAGGAAGTCTGTGGCAGAGCAGGAAGTTGAACCTAGGTCTCTCAAGTCTTAGACTAGGACCCTAACCACTGCACCATCCTCTGTCTCAGGCATAAACTGATAATAATTTTGTAAGTACCTTGGCAGGTGCATCTTCCTGAAACATAGTTTTATTCCTTGTCATGAGAATTATCCATCTTCATCCCATGGGCTCTTCCCCATATGGATAAGAGGGTCACTTGATAAGATATTTGCATCTGTGAATACAAAGGCATGCAATTGGGTCTTCATAAAAACATCTATTGGGAGAAGAAATGCAGTGACCATTTGCATAGCGATATCAGATCAAGTTAAGTCATAACAACAGTTTTCACACAAAACGCATGTGGTTTTGATTAATGTGTGTGTCTGAAAGTAGAACATTTATGTCTGACAGTAAAGAAGGTGGGGACAACCAGGTAATATATTTTCTCAGGCTCAATGTTCCTGTTCATTTTAGATAACCTATTATTGGGGCCCCCAAACATAGCCCTTTCAGCATGCCAGGTGGATCTCCTGCATATGCCCTGTGCAGAAGACAGTTGTGCAAGAGCCTTTCTCACTGTGACAGCTGTGACAGACTTTGCCCAGGATGGAGACCGCATCAGCTATATCAGAGCGGAGCCAGTCACAAGGAGCGAACTACTCTGGAGAGCTTATGCGCCAAAGGATGTAAAGGTTGGTTACTCAAATAGCGTGGAAAACATGGCAAACTTCAGTGGGAGTTTTGCTATGAAGGGAGACGGGGGAAAAATCAATAAGTCTTAGCTGTATAAACTTCCTCATTGTGAGCACATTAACCCAGCACAGTGACTTAATATGCCAAAGAAATCAATATGTGGAGTGTTTTGCTTTAACAGGTTTGTTTTGATTATCAGCCAGGACATTAGTAGGGCCAACAGCTGGATTCTACACACAGTCACATTTGTATGTGTGTGTGTTTTGGGAGGAGGGAGGGCTGGTTTGGAACTGTCAATTCTTTAGGAGGAAAAGAAAACACTCAGGGGAAGAAATTCCAAAACAGCGCATAACCCACACTGAAATTGTGGTTCGTAGAGCGAAGCAAAGGCAAAGCTTCTCTGCAAGAACGCTTCTGTTGGTTATGATTCCCCACTGAACAACAGAATAAATACAGGGTTGGAGAGTGGCCTGGTAATTTGAGAAGGGGACTGAGAGTCAGGACTCTGGTGTTCTATTTTCAGCTCTGCCAGTAATTATGAGGTCTCTAATGAGGCACTTAACCTCTCTGTATCTCTATTTATCCATGTATAAAATGGGCATTATTAATATAATGAGAATTAATTAATGAGCCAAATCCTGCTTCCTTTACTTACATTTACTTCAGTAGGCCTGTTCAAGTGAGTGAGGCACACACGATTTGTCTCATTGTTTGTGGCCCGGTGATTCTCAGATGAGAGCTCTGATAGAAGTCCACAGTTAAATATGATGTGATAGACTAAAAGGACCACAGTGCCAGAACATACATATCACTCAGCTAAAGTTCACAAAGAGGTGACAAAACCAATGTAGCGCATTTTTAGCAATAGAAGACATACTCCTGATTAATGAACTATATGGTCCTGATTTATGTGCATCATTTACCTCAAGACCCAAAGAGTGACACTGATTCTATTCTCACTTACCCTGGCTGTACAATGGTATTACCTCAATGATTTCAGTGGTGTTTCGCCTGATTTGCACTGGAGGAAATGAGGTGAAAATTAGATCCATAGTACTGTATTTGTATCTTTAAAACGTATAATGACAAACGTGTGTACATTTCCTTTCTTCCTCAATATAGTCTTTATCTTTAATATTTTAAATATTGTCCTTATGATGATAAAGGCAACTTTAATCTAGTTCAACACAAATGCAATGCAGTTAGCTCAGTGCTATCAAACATATTAATTTTTGATGGCATTCATGTTTCTATTAAAACATGAGAACTGAGCAAATGTAAAGTTGAATTAACTATTTTAAAAATAAATTAAATTTGATCCCAGTAAAGCAGGCTTTATCCATAGAAAGAACAAAAAAAATCCCACTTTACTGTTGATGTTTTGCAAGCAATTAGAGGCATTAATGTGAAACACCTCTGCCAGCATAGCCAAGAAAAATTTCAGGATGATATATTAAAATCAAAATAGTCTTTGGATACTGCAGGCTTCCTAATAAATCTCAAAATTTACCTGGAAATGGAATGGCTGAAGCGTGCAGAACGATTTGAGAGAAATTCACGTCCCCACTAACCTAGGAAGCAAATATACTGCATTCTTTGCATTCATTCAGTAATTAAAAGAGCTGGAGTGAAAGAAAGAGAGAGAGAGAGAGTTGGGATGTGGTGATAGTGTTAATAGAGAAAATCCTATTACATCATTTTTGGTAGATACAACAATATTTGAGTTCAGGCCAAAACATTTTTCACTGAGGACTTCACTTCTGCATTCCTCAAGGAGTGAACCCTAACACCTGCGGGTGGCCAGCGTACAAGAGGTGTCAGAGTGGTGTCACTACAAGGCTGTTGATGTGTATACAAAAGTACAAACTCTTCATTTGAGGTGCTCATCTCCATGAGAGAAGCCCGCCTTCTCCCATTCATCCATTATTTTAAATCACCCCTATTCCTAAAGACTACATGATGACCAATTCCACATGGCTGCACAATGACAAAGGGAGGAGCAAGGACCCCTCCATCTTTTCCCCCTGCTTCACACCCCATGTCACAACTATTTGAATTGCATTTCTGGGTGCCTGATGAAGTGCAGAGTGTGCACCTAAGATGCATCCCTCTGGGAGCAGATAGTCAAAGCAAGCGAAGAGTAGACGGCCATGGCCAGAGAATGGGGGTAGGCTGGCTGCATGTATGGGAGCATGTTGCATCCCATAAAGGGGTGTCACAAATGGCTCATCCTTCCCCCAGTGCAAATGGGGCCCTTTGCACCACAACTTACTATAGGCTGTGTGCAAATAGCACACTGATTCTACATTATCAAGGTGAGAACTAGATATTACATTATGCAATACACCTTCACCAAGAGGCACCTTTTGGGCAGCAATGTGGCAACAGTCTTGTCTCTCTGTCCAGTGGATGGGCGATGCAAAGGACCTCTACAGGGAGCAGGTGTAGCAAGTGCCACAAGTAAGTGTGTTCCCCCACAGCATCATTGGAGGCATTGGGTATTCTCCTAGTTTTTGCAGGCATAATATCTCCAGGGGTTCCTGACTCCTCATGCCATTTCTGCTCCCAGATGGCTGAAATTCTTAGGGGTTATTGCTGATCTAATTTAAGATAGATAGTTTACACTGCTGTAACTGAGAGAAGCCTTAGTACAGCCCTTTATCCTTCACCCAATTTTGATGGCTCCCACAACCTTGAAGTCAAGGGAGACTGCACCGATTCCTTGACACCAGAGGGGTTTACTCTGGATTTACAATGTAACTGATCTTAGAACCTGGTCCACAGTCTGCATCACAAATTAATTAAATATTCAAAATATGGATTAAGGTCAAACCTATGGACCTGTAGTAGTACAGGCTACAAATCATGCTAATTATCCATAATTAAGCCATACCTTAGGCTTTAAAATTATTGTGATTTAATGAGTGTTCTACATTCTTGGTAATTTCTAGGTGGGGTTCTGCGTCTTAATGGGAACTTTAGCAGGAAAAGATTCTCTTTTACCAAACAGGGTAAAGAAATACAATAAATTGAGGTAGGTGAAATAATAGTACATCCAGCTCCCAGGCAGTATGTGATTAAACTAAAATTGTTTAAAAAGGAAGTCTATTCTATTCTGCATCATGTTTTATAAGTCAGATTTCAGTTTGTACTTGTCACTTGAATGCTACACATAAAGTTTTGTGAGGGAAAATAATGAAGAGAAACTGCTGCATAGGTTGTATTCATTACACATTTTATATTAACCAGGTCACAGTTCAAGACCTCCCAACAGGGAACTGCTACTCTTTCACTGATCCAAACATTATCACATTTGATGGGGTGAGTATTCTTTCTATCTTGAAATAATTTGGCTTGATTGTTGTAGTTTTCAGTTCCTGAATGCAGCATATGGTGTTCCATCAGAATACCCTAGGAGTGTTATAATAGTTTGTTATTAGTGATTTATACAGTGCTTTGGAGAAAAATCATTGTTCTTTCCCAAAAGTCTAAATTTGTGTTTAAAAAAAATGATGTGAGTTATTTATTTTGAAGCTAAAATGTTTCTTAGATTTACTAGTTTTTGTCAAAACAAAGTGTTAAATTCTGCAACCCTTGATTGAGCAAAACTCCCATTGATGACTCCAGGAGTTTTGCCTGATTCAAATATTTGCTTGATTAAGGACTACAGAATTAGAACCAGATCCTCTCAGATTGTCTCCCAGATTTCCAGTTTCTGTTGGTAAGCCTGCTACTAGTCAGGGTAATAATGGTATACCTGAAGCATCAGAAGAGGCTCAGCAAGTCTGGTGTCCCACCTGCTGAACTCCAATCGTCCCAATTTCAAATACTACATGCTCTGTAGGTTGCAGTACACTTTAGTCAGGATACTGACTTTGAAAATGGGCCCCAGCAGAAAAGCTGACACAGATGGTGGAACTCCTTATGCCATTTTACGGGTAGGTATAGTAATTCAGAGAGACATACAAGGAAGAATTAAAAGCTAGTATGCATGAATATTTATATATGCTCACTGAATACCTGGAATTATCTACACTCTGAGCTATGAACTGAGTTTAGAAAATAATGTATACAGTATATTTTCTACATTCACTGATAGTTAAGAAATTAAGTGAATTAAGTTAACTGTGTTTTTCAAACACTGCAAAGCCCACATTCCTTTTCTAGCACTATGGGCCAGATCCTCCACTCGAGTAAATTGATTTAGCTTGATTGACTTCAGTGGAGCTCTGTGGTTTACTCTACCAGAAGACTTGGCCCTACAAGTTTGGACTTCTAAATACCGACTAAGTTTAGGTCATCTCAGCACCAGTCAGACTTCCAAACAAGTTTTTCACTATCCCACTGTTATTTTTCATAACCAGATAACTCAAAAATTGCCAAAAAGAATAAACTTTGACAACATCAAATAATTTCACTTCTAAGCTTGGAATGAGAAATGTCCTCCCAATAGGCAATTCTGAGGAAGTCATAAGCCAGAGAGAACAGAATCATAGACCGGAAGTGCCTTCTCAGCTATCTAGCACAACATTATATCAGA